ATCGTGGCGATATCATCAAGATATTAATAAATATCATGAGGATATCTTAGTGATAGATTTGTGAGGTTATTACGATTGTCATAAGATTATCTCAAATATATCTCGAAGATATTATCACGATATCTATTTGATATTAAAAAATTAATGAAAATTTTTAAAAAAATTATTAAATAAATTTATGATTATTGTCAAGATATCTTTTCAATATAAATCAATATAAATCAATAATAAATCAATACAAATATATATCGCAAGGACATGATCTCAATATATCCGAAATCTAAAATTTATAAATATTGTCAGGATATCTTTTCGATATAGAATTGATCATAATTTATTATAAATATATATCGCTAGGACATGATTTCATTATGTCCGAAATCTTAAATTTATAAATATTGTCAGGATATTTTTTCAATATAGAATCTATTACAAATATATATTGCTGGGATGTGGTTTCGATATATGTATTTATAATTTATCGTTAGAATATCTTTTCGATATAGAATTGATCATAATTTATTACAAATATATATCGTTAGGATGTGGTTTTGATATATGTATTTATAATTATCATCAGGATATCTTTTCGATATAAAATCAATAATAAATTAACACAAATATATATCGTAAGGACATGATTTCATTATATCTGAAATCTTAAATTTATAAATATTGTCAGGATATCTTTTCGATATAGAATTGATTCTAATTTATTACAAATATATATCACTGGGACACATTCTTGAATAATTATCAGAATATTTTTTTGATATAGAATTAATCATAATTTAATACAAATATATATCATTAGGATATAGTTTTGATATTTCAAATTATTGTTATCATCAGAATATCTTTTCAATGACATTGTTGAAATATTCAAAAATAAAAATTTATAATTATCATTTTTGATTTTTTTCATATCGCTAACATTTTTTATTATATCAAAATGTTATATTTCTAAAAATTAAAAATTATAAAAATATATTAAATATAATATTATTTCTATCTTATTTAAAATTATAAAATATTATACAGGATGAAAAAAATATTCATTTTTATAAAAAATATTAGAAGAATCATGTTTACCCATCTTACAAACAGTTGTACAATCATGCACAAAATGTACTCTTTGTTGTCGATCCACAATAGTGATTGGAAATATAACATCCCATTTTTCATTATCACATAATTTGAATTGTGGACATCCACCAAGTGAATTATTTTCAGATCCTGATATTTCGTTATACCATTTTATATAAAAAAAAAGATAATTATTGGTATCATTACCTTTATGACTTATTATTACCCTCACAATAGCATATGTTGGTTTATCTGTTGTTTCTTCTTCAATCTCTATCGAGTCCCCAGATTTAATTTTGATTTTGTTAATTGCTCCATTTTCATTTTTTACTTCATAATATATGGAATTATGGAATTTTATTTTTTTGTTTGTTAATAGTCCTTCTTTTTTTAATTGGTTAGTATAGGCACGGAGAAGATGAATTAAGATATTACTTAAATTAAAATCTCGAATTTCCTTTTTTTTTAGCTGTCGAGAAACCTTTATATTTTGAATATGTTGAAATGGGAAGACCATCTCTAATAAAAATTAAAAAATTAAAAGACTAAGAATATGAAAGATTAAATATTTAAATAAAATATTATTACCTTCAGAAATATTTAAATCACTTGTTATATACCAATCATTAAATAAATTAAAATTTTTATAATTGGGATCATTGTCAAAAAAATTTCTTATTCCTTCCATAGTAATATATCTTTTTATCAAATCAAAATCTATTTCTTTTTTATTAGTATGGAGGACGAAATTCTTGAATGTCCGGTGTACCATTTCTTTTACACCTACAGATATATTAATGAGATTTGCATATGATAATGCATGTTGTATCAAATGAAAGTTTATATGTATATTAGGTAGATTTTTGAATTCTGGAAATATCTAAAATAATATAAGTTTGAGAATTATTAAATTAATTTAAGAAAAAAAATGAAAAGAATAAAAATTTACTTTTATTAAAAGATCGTGTTCTTCTTGTAATAATATTTCTAATTTTTCATAATCATTATTTAAAAAAGATGGGGAGAAAATAGACTTGGTACATATGGCCATTTTACTTCAAACTTCTATTATTTTTTTGGGTACTACTTTGGAATAGGTTCTTAATGAAATTTTTATTTTTTCCAATGATTCTTTTTTTATATGCTCTGGGGACAAGAAACAGTTGAGGATAAATGGAACGATCATGGTAAATCACTGATAATCACTCATAAAGTGTGACCGGGAATGTGAGGTTGGACTAGGCATTTTTGACCATGTAGATGGGAATTCAAAGTATTTCCAATTTTTTATAAATAATTTTTTTCCACTTTCAGATAATAAATCAATTGTTATTTCCATCAGACGGACGATTTTTCCAGAAACGGCATGATAAGCATCTTGAGGTATTTGTTGAAATGGATTAAATTTTAAATAAGAAAAAGGTGAAGGTTGAATACTTATTCCATGTCTCGTCACAAAATCTTTTTTTTCTTGTACACTTTTTAATAAATTATATTGTCGTCGTAATTTTTTTATCTGATGAAAATAACGGGCATTTTGAAGACGATCATAATTTTTATCAGATAATTGTTCTCGAGGTACAAGGCAATTGCGACACCCATGATTTGCGCCATGTCGTTTTATGCCACAGAGATCATTTCCTTGAGGTAAGTCTGCTGTAACAACTCCTAAACCACCTATTATTAAATATTCTATATTATTGATCTTCATTGGTATTCCTTTTTCTAATAACTGGATATCTCTTATAAAGGGTTTTATGAATTCATTAAATGAAGCACCAAAAGGAACGAACCCAATAACAAAATGATTTTTTAATAATTTTCGCAAGTCAAAAGGCATATTACCAACTTGTACATATACACCACCTAGGGAATGATAAACTGTACGGTATGTCCTGAAGTCATCAAAGTAGAGGTCCAAAAAAATTTTTTTTACTGAAAGATCTTTAGAATTTTTTGGTTCTTGGATATATTCCAAAGGAAGGAAATGGCGAAATTTTATGTGCCTTGTTATCCAAGTTGCTTCTGTTCCAGGTTTTTTATATAATATTTCCTTTATTATATAATTATTTTGATTATTAATATATTCGTCATTATCATCAAATAAGATTTCTTGAGGGGTCACTAAATTTTCTGGTGAAATAAAAATAAATTGATTTTCATAAAGCCATAATATATTATTCAAAAAAATTTTTTTTTTTTGTAATGTTTGTGGAAGTTCGTGAAATTCCAAATATATTTCTACTTTTATTAATATTTCTTTATCTTCATTATGAATGATAGCGCGAATTCATCCAAAGGATATTTTTTCATTATTAATATTGGATTTAAAAATTATAGAAGTTCCAGTATAATACATTTCTAATAATAAATATAAATAATTAATACAATATAAATAATATAAATAATTAATTATAATAATTATAATAATTTTAGTTTTATTAATAAATAAAAAACTTACTTTTATTAACAGTAATAGAGGTTTCTCCAAATAAAGGAGATTCTTGCCAGATTGTGCCATGCCAGAATTCGCTTTTTTTATCAGTTTCTATTCCAGGACCAAAATATAATCGTGAAGCTATTTGTGAGTTATTAAGGATTGTACGAATATGGTCAATAATTGAAATAGAATATGCCATTTTTGTAGGTTGAGAATTGGATGATGTTTTTTCTTTATTAATATTCACAATGTTTTTTCTGATTTTATGAAGGGGGAGGTGTTTTTGTTGTTCTTTTAATGTTTGTATATTTTTTGGAACGTCTATAGGATTAAAGTTTTCATTATTAATTATATTCACAAGATCTTTATAAGTACGATTTCCTATCATATGTTTTGTAATCCAAGTAAACATCATCAAAGATGTTATATTTTTAAAATTAGTTTCTTCAGAGATATCCATTTCTACATCAGAATTATTGTCATCTTCGAAGAGGTTAGAGTAGTCAGAATTATTGTCATCTTCAGAGAGGTCAGAGTAGTCAGAATTATTGTTATTATCATCTTCAGAGAGGTCAGAGTAGTCAGAATTATTGTTATTATCTTCAGAGAAGTCAGAATAGCCAGAATTATTGTTATCTTCAAAGAGATAAATATTGTCAGAGTAGTTATCAGAGTTGTCATTTTCGGAGGGATAAGAGTTATAAGAATTATTATCTTCATCATCAAGAAGACAAATATCATCAAAGTTATTAGAATTATTGTTATCATCAAACGAATGAATTTCATTATAATTGTCAAAATTGTTATCATTAAGTTGGTCTGAAAGGTCTATATTATTTTTACTTTTTCTTACATAAGTATTTTGAGGACGTGGACGTTGGATTCATTTGCTCTTATTTCTAAGATTTAAACTCATGTTATATTTATAAACTCAGTTTTTAATTTTTATGTTTTTTGTTTATTTATCTTATTTATTTATATATCTGTGATATTACACAAATTTATCTTCAAAGTCAATTTAATATCTTAGTGATATCCTATTGATATCCTATCGATATCCTGTAATACATAATTTATAATAAGAATCAAAAAATAAGAATATCACTGTGATATAAAAATAATATTATTTCAATATTGGGTGATATTTAATAATATATTTTTTAAAATATTGTTGTAATAATTTTAAAATGTTGCTATGATATTGTTGTGATATAATTATCATATTTAAATATATATATCGTGGATATTACAAAATATTTCGATATTGTTTTGATATCATAACAATATCATATAAATTATAGTGTATCAGGAAATTTAAGCACATGATTTTTTAAATATTTTTTGAAGATACTTGATATTCTTTTTATTCTTATTGAATACTTTTGTTTAAATACAATTTTATTAGATTATAATAATTTTACAAATTTATTTTTCATTTTATAAGTTAAGATTATTAAATATTAATTTATTATTATTATTATTATAACAACAATACAATAACTGGAATAAAATTTCAAATTCAAACTTGTATATTTTTCAAATCTAAAATAAATAATAATTAATTTTTAGTTTTTTTTTTAATAAATTATATATATGATTTTACTTACCAAGATACCTGCCGTTGATTAATATTGTTATTATCATCAGCATTTTTCATAATTTGAAAAGCTCGAGGCTTTGTAAAAGTTGGTGTTTTACTATTTAAGCCTTGATTATTATAAAGTTTAAATTTAAGTTGATTTGATTCAGCATCATCAATTTCCATATTTTCAAAATTGTCTTCATCATGGAAAAAAATATTATGGACGAAATATACGATACTATGCCTAATATTATTAACTCCACGGGTTAAAGGAAAGTTACCGTGAAGTAAATAATGAGAAGAGAATGTGACGACCTGATCAGGTCGAAGTGGTACAACAGTATGAAGTTGAGGAAAATAAAGTTCACCTCCTTTAAAGTTACCTAATGGTATCAGGCAACATAAACAATTTGGTGCATCTAATTTATCCCAATGATAATTACTAAGTTTATCAAAATTAATAGCAATCATTGGAAAAATTCCAAAAGGTTTTGGAGCAAAAGGACCCCAGGAAAGATTTCTCAACTTCGAATACATATTTCCATAATAGTCTTGTATGAATTTGTTAACATAATTTGATAATGGTACAAGACTAAGAAGTAAATTATTAATACATGGTCGATATTTCATATTGTGACTACTAGCTGTATTGGCACTTGTATATGGAAGACTAGTATACCTTCTATAAGTATCAAAATGTTCAACATTGTTTTCACAAAAATCTTTACTTTGATGTGCTTTGTTACTCATTATATGGAGATAGTATCTATTTACTGCATTGGTAGCTTGAGTTAAGGCATTTTGATCATTTATAATTTCTAAGTGAATTAAAGTTTGGTCTTTTTGATCCACTATGCATCCTGGATTAGCAAAACAGTGTGCACTTTGTACTAATATATTACTCTGTCTTGCTAATCCATATTTTGATTTTGCTGAACTCTTTAATTCCAATTCTGAAACAGTTAGATTATCTTCAATCTTAATAAAACCATGTTCAATATTAAAAGAAAAATCTCTAAGAAGTATGTCCCATTTTTTTCTTAAAAGATATTGAAGTCTAGATTTTATAATGTCTCCTTTCTCATGACAATTCTTAAGATTAAACCAATTTCTAAAACTGTTCCATTCTTCAGTATTCCAATTAACAACATTTTTAATAATTATATTTGAAATTATTAACATAAGATGATCCAAAGAAATGTCGGATAACTTAAGTAAATAATTTCTTGTGCATTCTCTTATTAAAACTCCAGCTAATAAATTACACAAAGGTATTTTATTCTGGATTCTAGTTGATTTCTTATCAGAAGGGCTAAGAGACTGGCTTTTCCATAAATGTTCCATATAGAAATTCTTTTCTTTTGGAGATACCTTTCGAGAAGCACCTTGGTAACGATGCTAATAATAAAATAAAAATAATATTAGAAATATAATTTAAAATATTTGATATAATTCAAATATTCAAATAATATAACTTAATATAATTATTTTGTAATTGATATAATTGATATAATTGATATAATTGAAATAATTGAGTAATTTGATATAAAATATATTTTAAGTAATTAAATAAATATACTTACTTTAGTTGGATTAAAAGTTAAATCACATTGATATTGTTGCCATTGTTGTTGTTGTTGTTCTTGTTCATATTTTTCTTGTTGTAATTGTTGTTCATATTCTTCTTGTTGTAATTGTTCTTCTTGTTTTTGTTCATGTAGTAGTAATTGTTGTTCTCTCTCATTTAGCTGTTCTTGCTTATTTGGCTGTTCTTGCTTACATTGTTGCTGTTGTTGCTGTTGCTGTTGTTGCCGTTGCCATTACTGCTGTTGCCGTTGCTGCCGTTGTCGTCGTTGTTGTTGTTTTCGTTGTTGTTGTTTTCGTTGTTGTTGTTTTCGTTATTGTTGTTATGAGATTTTCCAATTTTTTTGAGCAGAAATTTGAGCAGCTCTCCTTGATTTCCTTGGTGATGACGATGATGATGATGGTGGTGGTGGTGATGCCTGCATATTAGAAAAAAAGAATAAAGAAAAAAAATTAAAAATTATATAGAAAAGAAAATATTATTATTTAATTTTAACATCTCTTTTTATAAACATCTCTTTATTTATATTATGTGACACATATTGGATTAAAATTTAACCAATCAAGCCAGAACTCCAAGCAATCTATGTACACAAAATTATTATATCAAATTTTCAATCAAAAATAAGCAAACCAAATTTATGACCTATAATAAATTGTTATATTTTATTTTTTATGTATTATATGTCTGTGCCTATTTTATTAGCATGTATATTCTTTTATTAATATATATTAAAAATAAAATTAAACTTATGACTACATAGAGTAAAGTTAAATAATTAAGCTTAAAATATATAATATATAATTTAAAATTACCCTTAAATAAAGCTCAAGACTATATAGTAACTCAAAGTTACCTTTAAAGCTAAACCTCCATAACTATAGAATCAGATTAAGGCTCAAGACTACACAATATAGATTCAGGTTATCTTAAACAAAACTCAAGACTATATAGATTAAAGCTTAAGACTAAAGTTAAACTCGGAATAAGGCTTATGACTATACAATATAGATTCGAGTTACCTTAAAATAAAGCTCAAGACTAGATAGTTAAACTCAAAGTTACCTCCGATGTAAAAGTGGATTAAGGCTCATGACTATACAATATAAATTTGAGTTATCTTAAAATAAAGCTCGAGATTACATAGTTAACCCAGAATTAAAATAAAGCTCAAGACTACATAGTTAAATTTAAAGTTATCTCCATTGTAGAATCAGATTAAGGCTTATGACTATACAATATAGGCTCATGACTATACAATGTAGATTTGAGTTACCTTAAAATAAAGCTCAAGACTACATGACTACATAGGTTAACGTTAAACTCATTACCTTAAATAAAACTCGAATATATATGCTTTCTAATAAAATAGACTCAAATATATATGCGTTTCGTCGAATATATATGCATTCGAAAAATAAAAGGTATATAAAAATAAACGCGAATATATATGCGTTCAAAAATAAAAAAAAATATAAAAAATAAACGCGAATATATATGCGTTCAAAATAAGGTATATATAAAATAAACTCAATACGTTTAAAAAATATCAAGCCACACTAAAATTATTCCTAATTCGTAACTATCAATGGTATTGCTAAAGTTCACCACTCGTGATGGTAAAATTTTTTTGATCGTCGTGAGATTGTATATCGCGTCATCATATTTTCAGATTTTTTTTTATCTTGGGGCTGAGACATATATAATTCAAAAAAATATTATAAATATAATATAATATTATAAATATAATTTTTATTCGAATAAAATATTATAAATATAATATTATATAATTATAGAGTAGCTGTTGTACAAAATTTTTCCATTACATTCAGAATAGAGTTAAATTAAGGTGAGTTTAAAGGTGAATGGAAAAAATAGGGAAAGTATGATGATGGGATGAGGGGGAAAAAATGAAAGTGAGGAAGCAAAATGAAGGTGAATGGGGAAAGCGAGATGAAGGTGAATGGGAAAAGTGAGATAAAGAGGAAGCAAGGTGGATCGGATGAACTAAATCAAAGGGAGAGGAGACAAAGGGAAAAGAGGAGAATTGAAATGGAGAAAAGGCTAAATAATAATTATTTATTTATTTTTAGTTTATGATAATAGACATGAAGAACAACAACAAATGATAATAACGAAGATAATAAAGATAATGATCATGGTAACAATAATTCATTTTATAATAAATTAATATCTTTAATATATTTAATACAATTAATTAATAATAATAAATTATTATTTAAACACTTTATAATGATGATAGCAATGATGATTATAACTATGGTGATAATGATAATAATGGTGATAATGGTGATGGCAATAATGGTAATAATAATACAATCAATTAATTAAATTATTAAATAATTTATATTAACTATAATTATAACAATAATAACATAATTAATAAAGGATAAACAAGCATGATGAAGGACCAATAATAAAGGACTGACGATGAAAGACTGATGATAAAGGACCAATGATGAAGGACCAACAATGAAGGACAATTGATGAAGGACCAATGATGAAGGATCAATGATGAAGGCTAAAGACCAATAAAGATGATGACAATTATGATAATAATTATGGTAACAATAATTCATTTTAATATAATTAATACAATTAATTGATGTTTTTATTATTAAACAATTATAATGATGATAATAACACTAGTAACAATAGTGATTATAATAATTTTATAATAAATATAATTAATATATAATTAATTATTATTATTATTATTTAATATTTTATAATGATGATAGTAATGATGGTAGTAACGATAATAGTAATGATGATAATAACGATGATAGCAATGATGATGGTAATAAGTATTAGTAATGATGGTAATAACAAGGATAATAATACAATCAATTAATTAACATTATTAAACAATTTATATTAATTACAATTATAACAATAATAATAACATTTATTATTTAATAGTTTATGATAATAATGATGAAGGATGAAGAGTCAATGATGAATGACAACAAATGACAAAGAACAATAATACAATAATGATAATAATCATGGTAACAAAAATTTATTTTATAATAAAGAAATATAATTAATACAATTAATTAATTGTTTTTATATTTATTATTATTAAACAATTTTAAACAGTTATAATTATGATGGTGATAGTGATGGTGATAATGGTGATGGCAATAATGATAATAACAAGAATGATAATGATGATAATGGTGATGATAATAATAATAATCAATAATAAAAGATAAAAAATAAAGGATAAAGATAAAGAACAAATTATGTTTGACAAATAACAACAAGGATAATAATAATAATTGGTAAGAAGAGTTGAATTAAATTAATATGATTAGTATTATCAATTATTTATTTATTTATCTTTTATTATTAAACAGTTTACAACTACGATAACAATAATGGTGATAGTTATTTTTTAATCTCTTTATGGGTATAGATAGTTGTCTTAATTCTTTTTTGAATTAAGGCAACTATCTATACTTAGTGAATTATATCTATTGGTGAATACTGATAAATAATCAATGATATCTATCTATGATTATGTAATAAACTTGCGTTTAGCAGGGTTCCCAGAGTTTTTAGCAAGCTGATAAGAATGTTTTACTAGTAGATAGATTAGATTATTGAATCTATTCATTTTACGGATATAACTCTCTTTTTTTTTCTTTTTTTTTTTCGAGTGCATTATACCTATATAACCTCTCTTTATATAATTTTCTTGACCATGGTTAAAAATAAGTTCGTTAAGTTCGTTAAGTTCATTAAGTTCGTTAAGTTCATTAAGTTCGTTAAGTTCATTAAGTTCGTTAAGTTCGTTAAGTTCGTTAAGTTCGTTATTATTTTCTTTTTCTTTTTCTGCAAGGAAGTGGTCAACCTTGTAGTCATATTTTCCTACTTTTAAATATTTTACTTTATTATTTAATTATTAGAAAAAAAAAATATAATAATATATTATTTTATATTATGTATAATTATACAAATAAAGAAATCAAACCTGTTATTGAATTCATTATATAATAGATAATATGACAATATAGATAATAGAATAGGTTGTGGCTTGATTAGTTACCTATTAAGCTTGTGGCTTAATTAGATGTTGAATATTATATATCACATACTACCTATTAAGCTTGTGGCTTAATTAGATGTTGAATATTATATATCACATACTTGAGCAAATATTAAAAATAAATTATCAAATAATATAAAAAAAAATAAAAAGAGTTTTAAAATGAGATGCAGGATAATAAAATTATGTAACATTATGCATTATTATGCATTAAAAATTCCTGATTATTATCTATTGTTTGATATGCTTATTTATCTTACAAATATAAAAAATTTTTTCCGTCTTACACTAAAACTCCCTACAATTTTAACCTTGTTTTATTTTATCTTATTTTTTTGTTTAATGTTACTTTTTTTTTCATCATATATAAATAATTTGAATCCCATAATATTTAAAATTTTAAATAATTATAATTATACAAATAAATGTCTGCAATCATTTCGCAGTATAACGTTACGCAATATTTTTAAAATTTCTAACATTATACAATATAATATTTATTATTTATTTTTATAAAAATTACAAAACGGAAATGATTCATCATCGTTACAACGTAATAACTTTTTATTTTAATAAGTAAATGTCAAACACTGTAATAAGTGATCTGAAAGATAAGAATGATATACATCTTCTGTAAAAATTTCAGACCTATATCATTAAAATTGAATGAAATATGAACAGTTAATTTCGAATACGATGAATTATTTCTGTTCAAAATTTAATCGCTCATCATTCGCTCAATTTTGATGATATAGGTCTGAAATTTTTACAGGAGATGTACATCATTCTTATCTTTCAACTCAATTATTACAGTATTTGATATTTACTTATTAAAATAAAAAGTTATTACGTTGTAACGATGATGAATCATTTCCGTTTTGTAATTTATAAATATTTTTATAAAAATCAATAATAAATATTATATCGTATAATGTTAGAAATGTTAAAAATATTGCATAACGTTATACTGCGAAATGATAGTATGACATTTATTAGTATAATTATAATTATTACTCCATGGAGCAACCCATGGAGTATTAACCCAGTACATTTAACTATATTTAACTATATTTAAGCCAGGTTGGATTGGGTTAATCCTTGCTCCACTATAATATGAACCCAACCCAACCCGTTATGTTCTATTAACAACCCTAGGTAAGAGGCATATATATGACAATCACTTGATCTATAAAAAAGTTTTAGATATAGAAATTCGATCAACCGGTAATATGTATATTACAAAAATAGGATAGAAGATTATAAAAATCTGCATGCATAATCTGGTTATGAATACAAAAGACAAAAACAATTAAGCTATTTATAATACAAAAAGACAATACATGAATATCACAATTGTTTAGCCCCATTACATTACACAAAATGAAATTTGATATTATATAAAAGGCCTTCGGGTTGACTTTAATACATCCTGGCGACATATTCTTTTAATAATGTAATTGTAATTATTTTAACTCAAATACAATTGTATCAATATTAACTTTAACTCAAAAAAAAATTATAATATCAATTCCAAAACAAAGGCATATAACATTAATTTTATAACTCAAAAATAATTAAAACAATATTAATTTCAATACAAAGATGGGCTATAATAATATTTTTTTTGATGATTAAAATTTAAATATTTATTAATTTTAACATGTTTATTGGCAGATTTTTTAATAATGCAATTGTTTTAACTTAGAAACAATTCTAGCAATACCTAATAATATTAATTTTTTAATATAAAAAAAAAATTAAAAGACAGGTTGTAAATAATTTTTTTGGTAATTAAAATTTAAATATTATATTAATTTTAATATGTCTACTACTGTTGCAAGTACTATTAATAGGACAAGAAATATGTAAAAAATTTAATTATATTAATAATTTTATATATTCATGTGGAAGATGAAGTAATGTTTGACTAAATAATTTGATTCTACTTATTTTAATTTTGTGTATTTATGTAGAAGATGAAGTAATGTTTGATTAAATAATTTAATTCCACCTATTATTCATAGTTTTAATTCAGCACGACATAATTAGAATTCTAATGTATATTTAGATTTATTATTAATTCAATTTTTAATAACTGTAATTAATATTTAAATTATATATTATAGCCTCCTGATCTTATTAAAGATTATTGGTTCAAAGAACTTCGTTCATTTTTCTTACAAATAAGATTTGTTGATAGAAATATCTTATATAATTTATTGGAAAAAAATTTCTCTCATCAAGACAAGATGCAAAATATTCTGATAAATGGGTCAAAAATGTTTTTACTCAATTTCAGAGGTGGAAGTCGAAATCAGTACAAAATATAAATACGCACCTTAATAAAAAACTTAAAACATATCATGGAGCTAGACCTAGGTAAATTTAAATATTTTAAAATATTTAAACATTAAATTAATAATATTAAATTCTTTTTTTTTTTTTATTTGATAGAAATCCTACGGATAATTATTTTGTCAATATGGATAACCAAAGGTGATTTATTAGAAATATGGAGAACATGGTTTAAAGATATAAATCCAGGACTTTTCGATATTAATAATGTTGGATGAGATAATGAATATCGTGATATCATTGTTGAAATTATGAAAATTCGATACAAATATGAATACTTAAAAGAAAGAAACAATATAGATTCAGAGAAAAGATGTGTTTTAAAATATTATGACCTCCTTACAAGGGATTTTCATGTTTCCACTTTTACAGGCGTGCATGCATATCAATTTATTGCGATTCTTATAATATCTCTGCCAATAATTTAAATCACCCATACCATAAATTATGTAATTAATTTTCTATTCAATTAATAATTATAAAATTAGAAAATTTTCCTTAATAATTTGACAAATTAATTATAATACAATTAATATTAAATTTTATTATTACATATAATTACAATTTTTAATAATACATTTAATTAATTATAAATATTTCAATTTTTTAATCATCCAAATAATCTTAAAAAAATTTAAAATTTACAATTTACAATTTAAAATTAAATAAAAAATGACTCGAGGTGAAAAAAGAAGTAATAAAAAAACAAGAGGAGGAGGAGCAAGAAGAGGAAAAACAATAAGAAGAAGAGGAAATAGTGGGATCATCAAAGCCAAAAAGAAGAAGTTTGTATAATATTATATAATTTATATACATATTTTATTATTTTTTATAATTTAAATAAATTATTAAATTTTTTATTATAAGGAATACAATATAATCCTACAAAAGAAATCGGTGACTTATACGCACTTCAAAAAAGTATTTATTTTATTTTTGTATTTATAGAAAATTAATAATTTAATTAATTTAATTTAATGCAAATTTAATTATATAGGAGCAATAGAAGATGAAGGAAAAGAAGGAAAAAAAGAAAAAGGAAAAGGAAAGAGGAAAGGAAAAAAAGCAACAATAACTTCAAGGTTAACAACACAAGTTACAGAATCTGTACCATATGTGTATATATTATGGAGGACTACACCAGAGATAATTACATCAGGAACAACTTCACCACGAATAACCATGCCAGGGGCAACTACACCACGAGCAACTATACCAGGGGCAACTACACCACGAGCAACTACACCATGAGCAATTACACCACCAACGATGGGACAGTAATTACCTACTCGAATGACAATATTAACCCGAACTCATCCTCAACCTTCAGAACTAAGTTCTCGAGAACCATTTTATTCACATATAAGAGGAAGTAGAAGTGGAAGTGGAAGTGGAAGAGAAAAAGAAAAAAGAAAAGGGAAGGAAAAAGAAAAAAAAAAAGATACTCATCCTCAGAAGACAGATAGATTGATATGGGATTGAATGTCAAAATGAGTGTTTCAATAAAAAGTCAACTAGAATACATTAAAAAAAATAAACACGTATGTAGAAATTTTATATAATTATATAATTTAATTTAAAATTTTTATTAATTATTTTTACAATTTATTATTTATTAGGCGTCTACAACAATTAATGATACATTACTCAATATTTTATGTATTGTTTTTTTGCGATCATGAGTCTTTAATTGTCCTCTTAATGTATATTACTCCATAATACAAGCTTTATTTGGAAATTAAATGGAAGATCTTCTGGAAGAAGCAGTTGAACAAATGACAGCCTATTTAAGAATGGGACATGAACTTTTAATAAATAGATTTCAACAAAACTTAATTTATATATTAAATAATAAGTAAATATAATTTCTTAATTACTAATTTCCACACAAATTTTGCACATAGAATTTTTAAATTGAGAAATTTTCACACAATTTAAAATTTGAATTTCAAATACTACTAAGAATGACATTGTTTATATATAAAATATTTTAAATATTTAATAATTTTAATTTATTTAATTTATTATATAGTTTACCAGCAGATAAATCAAGTGTCTTGTTTTTGTTTGGAGGAATTGAACATACATATATGTATAATAAAAGAGTCCGTGATTCTTTTTTAAAATGATTTGCTTCAGTATTAGAAAGAATAATATTTGATTTGCATGAAGGGAGGTTTATCACCAATGAAATTATCGAGTATTATAGCTCAATAAATATCTTAAATGGGTTGGAATTAATTCAAAGATATAACTGTAGAATTAAAATATCAGATGATGATCTTGAAGATAAAAAAAAATATGAAAAAGAAAAAAAAGGAGAAACAGAAGGAGAATTAGAAGGCAAAATAGAAAGTAAATTAGAAGGTGAATTAGAAGGTGAATCAGAAGATGAATATGATCAAGAATTATTAGTGATATTTGAAAGAAGATCATTAGAGAGATCAGAAAAGAAATCGGAAGAAAAGAAATAATATTTTTTTTTATCTTGGAATAAAATTTTCATTTATTGTTATATTATCTAAATTTTTTATATCTTTTATAATATTATTATTATTATTACAAATTTCAATACATTTAAAAATAAAAAACTTTAATTGTTTAATATTATTTGAGGTCAATTTTGATATTTGAATGCATTTTAAATATCTCTTTAATGGTTTCTTCCAATTTATATCTACAAATTCTTTTAACAATATAGTCCTAAAATTTATTTTATAATTATTTTTGTTTATTACAATAATATTCATATTACAAACTATTTCATCAATATTTACCCTTCTGAGAACTCCTTTGAAAGGTTCATCACCTCTTTCTTAAATTCATGCCTAAATCCATTAAATTTTTTATGGGCGACTATCAAATGATCACAAAGATCCTCATTTTTTATGTTCCCGTAAATCTCTTTTAATAATTTTTTAAAATTATCATCGTCAGGTACGCGACAAGTTAAAAAAAGGACTTTTAACCTTTCTAAACAAATATTCTACAAATCCTAGTTAATATTTTTCAAAAATTATTTTTATTAATAATAATATAACTTACTCCAAGGGAAGACATTTTGAATCATTAAAAAAGTGACGAAAAGAATCTTTAACATGATAAACGTAACCTTTATAGACAAATAACATGATGTTGTACAAAAATTATGATAAATAATGACAAATTAAGGACGCGTAATACATATTAAAGTAAATAATAAACATTACCAAATTGAGAGGAGAGGTGATTTGACACGTTAATATTAATAGATAATATAATATGATATAATGTAAGCTCATAATTACAAAATATCAATAAATTTAAATTGGAAGAATTGAAAGTACATTGTGGCTACTGTTTAGAGTAAACATTCTTCTCCCAATTTAAATGGATAATATTTTGAATTTTGATTGACATAATAATATAAACGCGATCAATACGCGATCAATACGCGATCAATACGCGACGTAAACTGTAACAAATAATATATTAAACATGATGATTAATACTAAATTAGGATGAGGAGGTGAAGACGTGATTTGATGCAATTTGACGTGTTAAAACCCTTTTATATATTACTGGTCATTTAAAATTAAAAAAAACCACTTCGAAAAAATAATAAATAAATAAATAAATCTTTAAAAAAATTGAAATCTATTACTTTGATAAATATGAATAAAAATAATAAAGGTAAAATATATAAATATTATTATTTAATTAATTTATTATTCAATTATTTATTCTATTAAATATATTAATAAAAACTTTTTTAGTACGTACGCGATCAAGTAAGAACAAGAACCCAAGTTCCATTTATGAAGATGAGGAACAATCCTATCCAGCTCCCTTATCTAAAAAAAATAGAAGTCCCATTTATGAAGATGAGGTTGAAAAATCCTGTCTAGCTCTCTCAACTAATAAAAAAAACAAAAATTCCACTACTTTGCAGTCACCTATTACTAGTAGAAGCAATTCATTTAGTTCAAAAGAAGTGGAAGCTAATCCTGAAGTCAATCGTAATAATTTTTTAGGAAATTATGATCATAATAATCAAAACCAACATGACAAACACAATGAATTTAATGAAAACAATGAATATGAACACAATGAATATGAACGTAATGAATATATTGAATGTGATGATGATGACCAGGATAACAATAATCAAATTATGTAAATATTTTTTAATTAATTAATTTTATTTATTGATTTATTATGTATTATACTAAATTTTACATTTATATACAGTTCTAATTTATCAGTACTAGAAAAAATTTCAGTATCTGAACTTGCATATTTTGTGGCTTTAAGACCACATATATTAAACTTGGCAAATAAGATATTTGAAGGTAATAATATGTCATCTATATCATATGCTTCTGTACCAACATCATCTGTTCCTGTATCAACATCACCTGTTATATCACCTAGCGAAGTAAATATTAATATTTCAATATTTATAATTATATTTATTATATTTTCAAATATTCATTTAACATTTTATGTTTTAATTAGTTGTCACTTTTACGAGAACAGGCAAAATTGCTTTTTCTTCGTACTCGTGTCTGCTCGAAAGGATTAAAAGAAGAAATAATTAGACGAATTCGACCCGGAATTGACATGCATTCATCAGTTGCAAGATCGATAATAGATAAATTTAGTCACATGATTAATAGTGATCGTGATAAGCTTAATACATTTGCCTTAACATCTGCAAAAGAAATTATTGAAGCTGAAAGGTAAAATTAAATTTTATAATTAATTTTTAAATTTTTTTAATAATTAAGTTAAATATGTAATTAATTTATAATTAATTTTTAAAAATCTTAGATGGAAAGAAGTATCAAATGTGAATGTCAACACTATTGAAAAATTGGTTACAAAAGATAATATAAAACTAGTATTTAATTCCCACTTAAAATATGCTCGTTTATCACAAAATAATGAGGAAGGAATGAAAAAATTACTAGAATTATACCAGACAGTAGTAAAGATTCACATAATAAATAAATTAAAAGGTGAACAAAAGTCAATTGCATCATCAGAGGTCAAAAATTTAGATTATATTACTAAAAATCTAAAATTTAATTCCGTTTCGGGAAAAAATTATGCGTATGAATTTGAACTTGACTATTTTGTATAAAATATATTTTTTTTATTACATTTTATTACAATTATATATTATATTTTTTACATAATAAAAGTATATTTTATTAATGTGATATCAAATACATTTGCATTTATATAAGTTACAAATAAAGATTTTAATAGATATCTCAGATAAATATAATATAATTAAATCTATAGTATATAAATGACGTGACTAGTGTTTAAAATTCAATATGTGGAGTGTGTATTCGAAAATTGTACACAAAAAAAAGCTTCTACATAATAAAATTTGAATTTCAAGTACTAGATATGATGTAAACTGATCAATATAATAATATGATATAAACTAATCAATATAATAACGCAACATAAAATGATCAGTATAAATAACGCGATGTGATGTAACAAATAAACAAATAAACAAATAAACAGATAAACAAATAAACAAATAAATAATTTTATTTAAAGGGTTATTAATTCAAAAGTACTGTTTATCTTCTTTTTTGCCAACTTAAGTATGCCAAGAGTTAGTAGAACTATTCGTGCTATAAATCATTGGAACCCTGTTGTTGGTGTTATTATGTTTCTTCAAGAGAAGATTCGTGATCTGAGTCGTCGTGTTGTTAACTGTCCTGTTCTCGAGGCAGAAGTTGAGAGACTTCGTATGAATTTACAAACTTTGGAGGAGAGATTAAATAGTATTAGGAGGGAACGTCATAGATTCGAGATGGAACGTAATGAACTTGAATGGGAGTGCTCTCTTCTACGGAGAAATATTATACAAGAGTGGACACGATATTTGCGGGATCCTGCTAGAGCTTATCTACAAAGATTTCAACTCTATGAATATGAAATAAGTTATCTTGGTCAGGTAATTAATATCTTTCGTCATGAGTTTTGTATTCATCAGGTACCATATCCAATCCTTCCTAGACCTCCTCGATGGTTTGTATATCTTTTTTGGTGATTACTAAAGTTATGTAAAATAAAAAAAAATAAAAAAAATATAATTCTTAAATAAATAAAATAATATTTTAATTTAATATTTATAGGGTTTCTACTTTATCTTCCTCCAACCACCCTCCTACCTGGTCAGAGAACTCTTTCTGGAACAGGTCTAACCCTTTAAACTCTCTTCCTGATCCTTCTTTCTCTGCTAATAACTCTAATAATAATGAAGAAGCTGTTAACAATAGTGAAGCTGACAATAGTGATTCAGACCATACCATATAATAAAAAATATTATAATTTAATTTTAATAAAGTGGTGCTCATTGTGGGCCTTTGTCATCTTAGTCTGATATAAAAAAATTTTAGTCTAATATGAAAGAAAGTGGTGCTCATTGTGGGCCTTTTCTTTCTATTATATTTCTATTTACTAACAATGTTTAAACTTTTATTTTATATTACAAATAGTGATACTTAAGATATTATTCTTTAATTAATCTACGTACCAATCTTTGTGATGCATTCCTGAATTGTAAATGGTCCTTTGAAGCTTTTTCTTAATTATTATTAGAAGTTGTTTTCTACTAACAAATATAATTGAATTTTAATCAGTATTATATATATGATAAAAATATTTAATAAGTAAGTTAAAATGGTCTTAATCCTTTGAAACCTTTCTTGATTGTTATTGAAAATTACTAATGACAAATATAATTAAATTTTAATCAATTCATGTATATGATAAAAATATTTAATAAATAATTAATAAATATTTAATATATTTTTATATTTTCAACTCAATTCCTATTTTAATTATATATAACTAAATTCAATAGTTTTAATTACATATATAGTTTGTATGTACAGTAGAAATCAAAAGACATTTAGATCAAAAGATTCGATTTGATATTTATAGTATTTCTATGATATTTTATATATATTGACAATATTTGTAAAGATTTGAGATATCTTGATTATATTTTGTAATGAATTTTGCAATATTTTATGATAATTTTTGATTAAAAATAATATATGAAGATAATTTTGATTAAAAAATTATATCATATAAATGTTACTTGGATATTGAATGATATTTAATAATGTCAATCAATATATCGCATAGATGTCAATTCAATATTTATTAAATATCTTTACGATATTTTCGAGATTTCTCTGTGATATTTTGTAATGATTTTTGAATAAAAAATTATATCACATAGATGTCAATTCGATATTATTAAATATCTCTGCAATATTTTGTAAATGATTTTTGAATAAAAAAATTATATTGCATAAATATCAATTCGATATTTATTAAATATCGAATCGATATTTTCAAGATATCTCTACGATATTTTGTAAAGATAATTTTTGAATAAAAAATTATATCGCATAGATGTCAATTCGATATTTTTAAAATATCTCTGCGATATTTTGTAAAGATAATTTTTGAATAAAAAAATTATATCGTATAGATGTCAATTCGATATTTTCAAGATATCTCTGCGATATTTTGTAAAGATAATTTTTGAATCAAAAATTATATCACATAGATGTCAATTCAATATTTATTAAATATTGAATTGATATTTATTAAATATCAAATTGATATTTTTAAGATATCTCTGCGATATTTTATAAAGATAATTTTTGAATAAAAAATTATATCGCATAAATATTTATTCAATATTTATTAAATATCGAATCAATATTTTTTAGATAATAAAATTTATTGATTAAAATATATCGCGGCGATATTTATTTATAATTTAATAATATAATTTCGATAATTTATTATATTAAAGTAATATTAAATAGATATATTAAATTATTGGTTTGCTGTTATTTTGAGATATTAAGGCAATATCTTATTATATTAAAAAGTTATTTCAAAAATATCCTCGTGATATCTTTTTCATATAAAAATTTCAAGATATCTCAGGGATATTTTGGTGATATCTAGGCGATATCTTTTCGTTATCAAGGCGATATTCCTCAAAACCATTGATTTCAGCAAAGTATTTCGAAGTTCATTTTGACCTCACGATATTCCCATGAACCAGCTAAAGGTGAAAAGAAGAAAAAGGGCAAGGTAAGTATAAGTTATTTATTCACTTATTTATATTTTTTTTTAAAAAAAAAATAACTAAAAAAAAAAAACTCACCATTTCACTATAAGTCCCTCCAAGTTTGTGAAATCCATTTCAAAACCATTTCGATCTCATGGTGTCCCCACGAACCAGCAAAAGGTAAGAAGAAGAAAGATAGTATATTAAGGATATTATTAAGGCAAAGGATATATAAGTTTAGTTTTATTTTTTTTTTTTAAAAAAAAAAAAAGCAAAGATTAAAAAAAAATTTAATAAAAAATGATTATCAGATCTATTGTGTCACAAATTTTAAATAAGTAATTGGTTTCAAATATTTTTTCTGCTGTCAAAATTAATTTGAACTGTCAAAAATAATTTGAGCTGCCAAAAATAATTTGGGCTTTGGGCTTTTTTGACCTTTGAAGCCCAAATAATTTGGGCCTATTCTACCACCCAAATTTCAAATTATTTTGGAATTTGGGCAGCATGTATATATAAAACTACTGTGGTAAATTATGCCAACAGATGAGATCTGCTACAAAACTTATATCTTGTATCATTATATTGCAAAATATTATTAAATATTGTTTGATACTGTGTTAATTGCTTTTACTTCACCTTACTTACTATGCTTTCATGATTAATTGATCATTATTTAATTATTATTATTATCTATTATATATTTATTATCTGTTTGAGATAGGCCAGTTAAATCAATTATATTAGCTATGACCTACTGACAAATAAAGTATATTATTATGTTTGTATGAGGTAAACTTGAAAACTGATTTGAGAAAATATTTGAAATACTTTGCACAAGTATGACAATTTGTTTGAAAGGTTGGTAAAAATTAGATAATTAAAATATTAATAAAATTAAAAATTTATTTTACATAATTTTAAAAATTTTTTTTTTTTAATTCCAATGGAGTTATGCTTTATTAAACAATTTATTTTACATTTATAAAAACTACAAATACATTTAATACAACTGGCTATGGCTAAATTAATAATATAACAGCCCAACTCATCGTTGCCCTAGTGTTACCTAAAATAACTGATAGCCATGCTTCCACTCATCTCTTTTTGATCAATCTGAACAAAAAGTTACTGAAAAGGAATACTAACCTATCGAGAAGCTATAGATTAGGGAACTGTACACTAACATTTGTACAGAAAAAATTTAGATAGAAGATTAATAGTAGATAAATATTCATATCCACTAATATTAAAACTAATTTTTAGAGCAAGAAATTACATGAAACCTTATATACTCTTCAATTAGTTTTTGGATAATGTCTGTCTTAGTTTTCAAACTGTATATGGTTCAAATGTTCACTTATACCATGGACTCTAGTTCCTAACCCTTTTACAGTATTAGCCAGATCAGCTAATCCCTTAGACATATTATTTAATGTTTTTAATATATTTGAATTATTTGTTTCTTCTCTTGTTTCTATTTCTTTTCCTTTTCTATCTTTATTATTATTTTCTTTCAAGACTTAATTATGTTTATCAAGATGATTTTCAATAATGAAAAGTCTTTTTGTTATATCTGTCAGAACTTTAACTACTTCTTCTATTCCCCCATGCAATTTTTCAATTTGTGCAACATACAAATACATTATTTCTATTACATTTTGATTAAATTCATCAAATTCTTTGTATTGTTCTTCAATTTTATTCTTATTAATATTCTTTTCAACATTCTTAGCTTTCTTCTTAACTATATCTGTGTAAGTATTTGGTTTGAGATAGTTTTTATTAGATTGGAATAATAATTTGGTTTATATTTTTTATACAAATTATCAAATTGTTTGATTTTTTCTTTCTTATTAAAAACTAACTGTTTACAATATTTATTTACATTACATTCTTTTGCTTTATGTAAATCTGAACTACAAATAAAACAAAGAGGTATTATCATAGGAACTATCCTAATTGTGATTTTCTCTATTAATTTCATTATACTGTACTGGTGTTTCTGCATTTCTTCTTCTGAATCAAATGAAATAATCACATAATTTTTCCTTTTATATCTTTCTCTAGTTCTTGGAATATAAATTGTATAACCTTTGATATCTTTAACAATTTATTTGATATCCAATGCTATCATTTCTCTAGGTAACTGTGTTAACTTTGCTACCTATTTATCTCTATTATTTAATTCTTCATAACTAGTATCACCTGATGTAATTCTTAAACAATCCATTCCAATTCAAATTGACTATTCTGTTAATAATTTTTTTACAACTTCCATATTTTCAAATTTCACGTGACCTAATTGTCACATGTCTTTTGTTGTTAAATGTAATTGTTTTACTTTCCAAAATAATTGAGATGTAACATCAAATCATTTCTCTTTACATATAGAGGAATATTCCATATTTTTCATTTGCACAATTTATCATATTCATTAAGTAACTGTTCTACCATATCTTGTATACAAATGTGATTTTCAGTATTTCCTAGATTTACTTTTTTTTGCTTTTTGTACTTCTTCATTCAAAGATATATTACTATATTTTTAATTTTATTGATTGTTTTAATTTTTCCAAGAATTACTTCAATTTGATTTTGAAAAGGAGATTTTTAACCAGGAGAATTTTTGCAAAAGGTGATTTTCCCTTAATTTTTTCCACTTCAACAAAAACTTTAAAAAGTTTTATACCAGTTTCTTTACGCCAGATTTTAGGAGAGATATTTTTAGGTTTCTTCACAAATACTTTTTTAATTCTATCATTTTTATTCTTTTTACTTTTTACTGTTTCAAATTCTTTCTCAATATATAAGTCATCATCCTCTTCACCATCTGAAATTTCTTTGTATTTTGGTTCTGCCACAAATAAAACACTTGACTTTAGTTTAACAACATTACTAATATTTATTTCTATTTCTTCT